AAAATAGAACATACTTTAGAATAAGTTGTACATATATAGCTCTTATTGAATAACTGAAATAAAAAGACTTTAAACACAACATACAGTTTTATTCTATGGTAGGCTTCTATAATTGGTTACCAAGATCCTTTATTTGGAGCTGCTCCTGCCCTACCCAATCCCATCCACCTGGCTCCATAGGCGATGCTTGCTTCTCTGATGCATATTAGAATCACTATATAGAGTGCCTAGCAGATGGAGTAATGGTCACATTGCTGGATTCCCACATGACCGACTGCAGTTCAAGTCCCAGACCTGGTGACTAGAAACTCACACTGGGTGTGTGTGCATGCATGACCAAAATCATGAGAGGATAATGGAGGAGAAGGGATTGCACTATGGCCAATCCCCCTGGGGAGTGATTTCTCACTTTCTGTCTCTGTCTGTCTCTGTCTCTGGTGAGTACACACACCCCATAGCAAAATTCTCTCAAAAATCAAAATAAAAACCACCACATAGACTACACATCAAATCAATTACTGGCTTGCAAGCTGGGGTGGAGTGTGGGGGTGGAGAGTGAATGGGCAATATTTTTAAAGGTCTGCAGACGATTTCACTGTGCTGCCAAGTCTGAGAACACTGGCTTAATGTAAGTAAGCACACCTGGCTTTGCTGCCACTGTAGATTGGTTCAGTAATTGAACACTGAACCCAAGCTAGACCAATCAGATCTTCGTCTTAGAATTCTGGAACTGGGGTTGAAAGATTAAAAATGATTGCTACACTGCCATGTCTGAGCTGTATGTGCCACAAACATAAATTCAGAACTGGTTAGCAGCCATGCTCCATAAAGAGTTGAGAAAACTCTGTGTGGGTGAGTAAAACGTAGCTGCTTAGAGAGAAGCATCAAGGAGAAACAAAGTGAGGTAGCTTCTTTCCATCTGTACAGAATCCAATCCCTAGGAACCGTTCTTTATCCCTTGAATTCCATAAACAAAGCAAATACTTTTCAAAAATTTTCTTTCTGCTTTAGCTAGTTCAAATGGAGATTTGTTTGTTTGTTTGAGAGAGATTTTTGCTATAGGCATGTGCACTCACTGGAGAGAGACAGAAAGTGAGAAATCACCCCCTCCAGGACGGGGTGGGGCAGGCAATGGCCATGCCACAATTCCTTCTCCTCTATTCTCCTTCATTCTACTTTTGGGATCTTGGGCATGCACACATACATGCCTGGTGTGAGTTTAAGCCACTGGGTCTGGGACTAGAACTGTGGTCAACTATGTAGGAGTACAGCAACATAATCATTATACCATCTGCAGATCCCAAGAAAATGTTCTAATAGTTGGAGCTCACTGTGGTAGACACAGAAGGTATTTTGCTCAAGATACCTTCAAGAGAACTTAAACAGGGAACACAGATGAGTAACAGCCTAGTTATTACCCCACTGCGTCCACCTCTGTTACTTCCCAGCCATCCAGCCATTGACTGAGTACAGTCACATTTGGGTTAAGGGTTTCAACACATGGATTTTGAAGGGTCCGAATTCAATTCATAACCCCTGTCTAATCCCTCTTTGTCATATTGCTTGAAGGTTCCAAATGGATACATTAAACAATGAGAAAAGGTGGTCCTTGGCAAACAGGAAGCTCCGCATCAGCAAAGGTGGTTTTATAATCTGAATGATTGTTTCTCAGTTAATATCTAAGGGCTCAACTGACAGGTGTCTAAGTTCTATATCTGTAGAACACTTTTTGGATTGAACATCAATAAAAAGGTAACCTGAAGTTAACAGCCTGATAGTAACAAAAAAATCTGATGAAAGAAAGGTCATAGAACACACTTTCACCTTCTATGTCAGATCTCTAAACACCAGGATTGATTATTCACACTTCATGAAATAATCAAGGGAAACAAAGAGATTTTTGAGGATTATAATGAAATAAGATATCTGTGTAAGAAAATGTGAAAATTTTGTGGGGGATGGTAGGAAGGACAATGGAAGCTAATAGAAATTCCCATCTCTTACTGGGCTGCCTTCAAACAGCATTTCACTGAGCTTCCATTTGGAATCCATTCTACCCTGCTCAGAATCAACTGCAAACATTTATTTCTCTGTTGCACCCTTACCAAATTCGGGCTCACATTCAAACTACTCGTCTTTGTGTGTACTATTCCATAGACTGTGAATATGTCGACAGCAGGACTAGGGCATCATTTCTATTGCTTTCCTAGGATGCTATCTAGGGACCAGTAAATAGTATAATGGTTACAATGCTGAACTCCCATGTTGCTCAACTGCACTTTGAAACCTGGACCTGGGACTCACACCAGGCACATGTGTGTGTGTGTGCCCAAAGCCTGGATAGGAGAATGGAGAGAAGGGATTGTGGTGTGGCCATCTCCCTGGGGAGTGATTTCTTGCTTTCTGTCTCTCTCTGTCTCTCCAGCAAGTGTATGTGCCCTATAGCAAAAATCTGTGTGTGTGTGTGAGTGTGTGTGTGTGTCTGTGTGTGTGAGAGAGAGAGAGAGAGAGAGAGAAACAGAGTTCCCCTCCATTTCTGTCCCTCTTAGCTTTACATCTTGGTTCAGTTTGTTCCTATTGTCAATTTGACTTCATAATATGATCTTACACTATTTGTATTAATAGGCACCAAAAATCTTCATTCAATGCTTGCTCAGGTAACTGACTCTTGTCTTCTCTCCTTGAAGACACAAATACAAATAGCCAGAGCCTGGGACTAAAGTCCAGTGCATGCACGAATAAACCCCTGAACAATGCTTCTTTCATGGAAGATCCAGTTTTTCAAATGTAAGTTTTGATTTGGAGTGTTTGAAGCTTGCTATAGCTAGAAACATATGTGCAATATTACCTTCAAAACAGTCTGGTCAATATGGAGCCAACTACTCTGATACAGGAGCAATGACCAGATGTTTTATCAATTCAGTTTCTTAGGACAACCTAAAAATAGAGATTCTTTGTAGTTCCAAAAATCAGAACTATCAAGGGCTCACCTAAGTCTTATTACTTCCTGTTCCATTGGATTTAACCCTTCAGACATTCTATTCTACTACCTTTAATTCCTCATGCACAGAGTAGATGCTTAATAGTTACTGGTTGCTGAATGAATTAGAATTTACCACAATTGTCACTAGAGTCTATAGTAACCTTATCTTCTCCCAAAGCCACATTAATAGCAATATGAAGAAAACTGAAAGTTATTTCCTATTTTACTGTTTTCTGTATTAGTTCAGTTTCTACCAACCATAGAGACTAAAGGTATATGATATTTCCAAATGAAACAAGGCAATTATAAACACACACACACGCACACAATAATTATACCAGTTGCATTATATCCCAGAATGAAAAGAAAATGGGAAATACTTTATTCAGATTCACATAGGGTACTGAACCTGAAATTGAAATTTCAGATAGGAAAACTGAGATGAGCGATTTGTTCTCAAGATCGTCCACTCTTTTTACTGATCCATCACCTGTCAATATAAATGTTAAATTCTAAAAGACTTTGTAATGGCCCTGCCATTTGGACATTACACTACACAAAGGCAAAAAAGCATCAAATTTTACATTTGACCACATATCTCTACCAACTCTTTAAAAGCAGGAATCTGGCACAGCCTCAGTACCACAAGTGGTAGTGTACTGAACAGCAGTGCTGGAATCCACTTGGCTGACCTTGGATTTGGAGTTCCCGTTGACCCAAAAACCCACTGGGCTTTGTGCCCAAGGTCCTGAATGGCTGGAGGTTAGGGGAAAGGGATCATGGCATGACAAGATTCTGTTGCAGGTGCTCCTCTCTCTCAGGCACACACAAACTTTCTAACATGAATAAAATGAATACATTTTTAAAGTGGAAGTCCATTTTTCTTGGCAAATATTAACATCAAATTTCAAATCAAGGATTTTTAGCCATGGTCCCTCGCCCTCTCTAGACATATAAGAGAGCAATTTTCTCTAAGCTTTTTCTTTTTTCTAAGTTTATTCTTTACATGAGCAAGAGAGAGACATACAAAGAGATAGACTTCAACAGAGTCTCAATGCCATGGTCCACTCTCAGCCTCAGCTAGCCCCAGATTATGGGCATGTGCATGTCTGGCATTCTGGGGATGGTCTTCAGAGATGAACTTGGAACCTTCCCATAGAGGTCAGCCTTAACAGAGCATGGAGTTTTACCACTGCAGCAGTGCCTGGCCCCTGTCTGTACATCTCAAAGATACATGAAATGTATGAGTCTCTGGAACATCTATAAACACAACCGCATGCAGAGAAGTTTTTATTCTGATATAAAATGTGAGATGGATCCCTATAGTAGTCTTGGTATGTTAACAGAATTAAATGAGAAGCAGAAAAATTCTCTTCTGAGGTAATTTATTTATTTCCCTTTCTTCTGCTTTTTTTTCCCTTTTCTCATACTTTGTTTTTCTGCTTCCTTGCTTTTTAAATACCAATATAATTATCGAGAATTATTTGTTGATATTCATCATCCAAGGATATGGTGGCAAAGTAGGAGGAAAACAAGATCCCATATGATGACCTAGGACAGTTTCTGGCATGTGACAGACATGTAATTCATGCTTGCTCCTTTGGCTTTTCTTCCCTTTCTGACCACTGGTCTACAATCCGATCATAGATATTCATCAAATATTTGAGTTCTGGCCAAGTCACAGTAGGGCACACATGATGCTGAAGCCATAGGAGAGCCCTGAATTCAATTCCCAGCACCCTCTAAATAGCTGGCCCCAGTGGTGTGTGCCTATAATCCCAGCTAATCCACAGGCTGAGACAGAGGATCGTGACATAGCAAGACCCTGTCTAAACACATGTACATACACACATACACACTCAATAAATGAAAAAATTAAATGAAAAATAAAAATAAGACATTTGAGCTTTATCTGTCTTTCATCTAAAGAACTACTGTGCCACATAAAAGAGTTGGATGGGTATTATGAAATTTTTATGTTCCGTTCAGAGATGATAGAATAAAGATATGATTTATATATTTTTTAAGAGTATATGACAGTTTATTGTGTTTTATGGAATAAAAAGTATCTATAGTGGAAAAAAAAAAGTTCATTTTTTAAAACTGTGAGACAGCTGATACACACCTGGAGTGAGGTTCGGGAGTCAAACAACGCTCACCTGAGGTGCATCACCAGCAATCTTACCTTCTTACTTTAATTACAAAGACACAATATTGATGTCGTCCCTTTGGTATTACCCTTTTGTTAAAATCTGCTTTAGATTTCAAAGTTCCTTTTATCTTTCCATGATCCCACTCTGACAACACAGGGAAAACTATGAACTTCTACATTTATTCATTCTCTTTTCCACCACGAAATGCTGCATTTTCTAATCCAGAGCTTGCAAGACCCACACAGACAAATTTAAAGAAAACCCTCCCCAGGTTTCCACACCCATTCAAACATAGTCAAATGTTTCATCCTGAAAGATGCCAGTTTTCAAGAAGTAAGATTTGGGTGTTGCTCTCATGACCATAACCATCTGTCCCACTTCTTTTCTGAGTCAGGTAAGACACTGATTCAAAGGTGAAGCTAGGTAAGAGCAAGATGAAGCCTTAGATGATGGCCCTGAGGAATTATTTTCGAATAAAGCTTTAAGACCTCCCATTCAATACATATATAATAAGCCATCTTCACTTTCGCCTACATCAGGAAAAAATAAAAAGCAAATTAACAAACCAATAGTATCTGTCTATAATGAATAGCATTTAACTATATGCACTTTTGTTTAGGTTTAATTCTTTGCTTTCTGAGAAAAGGCAAACATATTTAAACACTAGTTCATGATTACAATTACAAAATTAATTTTTACTTTTACAAACAGAAATCAAAACAATGTCATTTGTAGCAAAAAATTAAAATTTACAATTTTCATATGTTTCATGATTTAATTTCTAGACAACAGAGGTAAGAATTTTTAAATGTGATTTGTATCAAAATGGACTTTTTTCCTTGAAAAAGGATCTTTTAAACATTCCAGAAGGCCAAAGTACCACAAAATAATCAAAGACTACACATCACATGTAAAATCCTTCAGCTGTTATTGAAAAGTAAATATAATTACACACAGGAAAAAAAGATCTTTCAGCAGAGAAAAGCTGTCTTAAGAACTCGTTGGGGCTTCCCAAACTGATGGACACGAGTGACTTCTAATGTCATTATGTTTAGAAATGGCTTCATCCAGATCCAACTGTACGCCGTTAATATTCATTTCCATGCAGCCACTATAAAAGGCATTTATAGGTGTGGCATTGAAAGGAACATCTGTAAAAACAGAATATTAGGCTATCAGTTCAGACTTTCAACATCTTACTTAGAGGTAAAGGAATCATTCAAACTTCCCATTTACAACCAAATTCCATGACTAAGTAGAAAGTTAACCATGGGGACCAGCAGATGGTGCAATGGTTGTATCACTGAACTCCCATGTAGTTGACTGCAGTTCTAGTCCTGGACTCAGTGGCTTAAAACTCACAGCAGACATATGTGTGTGCATGCCCCAAATCCTGAGAGGCAAATGGAGGAGAAGGTATGCCGGCATGGTCATGCCCCCTGGGGATGATTTCTCACTTTTTGTTTCCCTGTCTCTGTCAAGCTGGCGAGAGGATGTGCCCTATAGCAAAAATTTCTCTCTTAAAAAAAAAAAAAAAAAAGGTTAATGATGGGACCAGCAGTTAGCATAATGGCTATGTTGCTGAACTCCCATGTAGTCGACCCGGTGGCTTAAACTCACGCTGGGCACATGTGCGTGCATGCCCAAGATCTCGAGAGGAGAATGGAGGGAAAGGGATTGCGGCATGGCCATCCTCCCCCAGGGGGAGGGTGATTTCTCTCTTTCTATCTCTATGTCTCTCTCTGTCTTTCTGGCGAGTGCACGCACCCTATAGCAAAGACATCTCCAAAAAAAAAGAAAAGAAAAAAAAAGTTAATGACGCAATTCTGTTCAATAAATATACATATTACATGACTCCTACTCAGATAAGGTATTGTGCTTGGCACTTAATTTAGCCTATCATTAGTTTTAATTTCATAAACACAATAAATTCTCTTAAATAAATTTAAGAGAAAAGAACAAACTAAGGAAGAGTAGACAAGAGTATATTCTTGCGATAGTTTACATTCCTTATAAAAATAATATAAATTATTTTCTCTTTAAATTCAAGCAATAATTTAAGCCTCATTTAATCATTTTTTTTTCAAATCCAAGTTAGAACTACTTGGAAATCTTTTTAAAATGTCATGATAAAAGTATCTCTTATTGCTGGAATGAAATCAGATTTCTGTATTTTCCAAAGAAATAGTTTCTTGTTGAGCATACAATTGTAGGTCACGATAAAAGATTCCCTTTAATTTAATATTCGTGTTCCATAAAACAACAGTTTTTATAACTCCTCAGTGAATCGTTTTGAATCGTTTTAGTGCCTTTGGGCCTTTCTACGCTTTCACTCTCTTTATCAAGCTTAATACTTAAGTGACAGCCTTGGATTCCTGATAACTACGGTTCATGTTAAAACAGCCATCTCTCCACTTGCTTCTTCCTTTTTGGCAGCTCTTCTCCATGAATTTTAATTTGCAATGAATATTCTCTAGTCCTATTATTCTTCCTCAGTACCTTATGCCAAAGATAAATACTTCAAATTTCCCACTTTTAACTTGCCAGTACCGTGAATGCAGCTCCTACTTTTCTGTAAGTGCACAGCATTTTTTTTTTTTTTTTGGAGAGGTTTTTGCTATAGGGCGCATGCGCTCGCCAGACAGACAGAGACAGAGAGAGACAGAAAGCAAGAAATCACCCCCCGGGGGGACAGCCTCGCTGCTATCCCTTCTCCTCCGTTCTCTTCTCGGGATCTTGGGCACATACGCACATGCGCCAGGCGTGAGTTTAAGCCACCGGGTCCAGGACGCGAACTGCGGTCGACTACATGGGAGTCCAGCGACATAGCCATTACGCCAACTGCTGGTCTCGGTGCACAGCATTTTTTAAAAATCCCTTTCAAGTCTGGATAGACATCACAGATTATGCCACTATTTTTTTAATCTTCAGAGTACTCAATATCCTGTGAATTTTAATTATTAACATGTAGTTTAGTGTGCCTACTTTGCATATCAATTAGTAATTTATCTAGCCTGTAATTTATACTTTTCATATCTCAATTTCCAGCTCCCCTTAATTATTCTCTCCTAATTATTCTACTCTTTTTCTTTAAGTACATCTTTCCTGAAGTCAGTCCTCAGTGCTATTGTGAAAGTGTGGGAACCACTGAAATTTTGATATTTTTACTTCTTTTAAACTTGCATTTCCTAAAATTGTATTCAACTAGTTTGTGCATAAGGTAATAGACAGATTTCAATATAGAAGTTATTCATTTGAACTGTAATTATACTTGCTAGTAATTAAAAATGCTACCTAACTGCTTAACTAATTCTCTGTGTATCTATATCTTTTTTGAGCCTATTAAATTCTATTCCCAAAAACCTAGATACAATTTCAAATATGAGAAATTAATAATCTGAACAATTAAAGTGACAAACAATGGTTACTAGAAGCCTAGATATCAAATTCAGAATCTTTACTATGAGAATAACCTTCAAAGGGTATCTGAAAATGCTTCTACAGAACTTCCAGACTTTGGGTTTTTTGGACAGATGAAGTACACTGTTTGTGCCATTTTTTTGTCTTCCAGTATAAAGTTAAAGATGAACCTGCTTATTCTTCAGGTGTCCCCATCTTGGTAAACAGAATTTCCACCCATGCAATTTCTTATGTCAGGTAGTCAAGTGTCATCTCTGTCTTTCAATCATTACATCCTGTTAACTGTTTCTGACATATATCTCCAATCTATTTATTTTATACTATCTCTGTTGCCATTGCTCTAGTTCAGCAGCTTCCTCATCTATAAAATGAGGATAATAGTACCAATTCCCCAGAACGACTTTGATAATGAAATAAGTTGATAATTTGAAGTACTGTGAACAGTACCCAGGTGGCTTATTAGGCATCACTTGATGGTAGTACAGTTATGGCTACTATTATTTTTGTTTTTTCTCTAGGTTACTCAATAGCCGCCTAACTCATTCAACTGCAACCCTCTTCTGCCTCCCACCTATGCATCCAAACTTTTGAAATTGTGATATTATTATGACTTACCTATCCAAAACATCATCTTAATGATTCTCATGTCTTTTCCACTAAGACTGGGGCCCTGAACCAGGCCTCCAAGCCTTCACCTTCCCAGTTCCCAGCCTCATCCCGCACGACCATCTCCTTTCCTAAGTGTATTGTAACCACATCACTTTTTCCAGATGTATTTCTTAAGGATGTCAATATATTCTCTTTTTTTTTTTTCAGAGGTTTTTGCTATAGGGCACGTGCGCTCACCAGAGAGAGAGAGACAGAGAGATAGAAAGCGAAATCACCCCCCAGGGAGGATGGCCACACCGCAATCCCTTCTCTTCCATTCTCCTCTCGGGATCTTGGGCACGCATGCACACACGCCTGGCGTGAGTTTAAGCAACCGGGTCCGGGACACAAACCATGGTCAACTACATGGGAGTCCAACAACATAGCCATTACGCTAACTGCTGGTCCCAGGATGTATATATTCTCACTATGCCCACACATGGACTATTTTACCTACGTACTAACTCTGATCTTCACTCTCAGAACCTGCTTAAATTAATGTGTTTCTCCAAATATCAGATTTATAGTTTAGTTTCTCATTCAAAAATATCATACTTTAATTCTTTTGATATTTTTCTAATCAGTTATTTAATGTCTACCTTTGCCACTAAATGATAAGAGTCTTAGCAGCAGGGACTGTATTTCTTTTATTTATTATCGTGTCCCTAGAACCTGCGACATGGGATCTCAGTAAACATTGGGTAAATGATGGATGAAATAAACAACAGATGAATAAATATTGACTAATAGTTAGATGAACTGAAGAACAAATACTGGACTTATGATACTATTGTGAGGATAAAAGAAAATATATCCTTTCTGATGAGGACAAATGCAGCAAAATGTGGTCAGTTTCACTTCACCATTAAAACAAACAGACAGACAAAAACATACTAAGAAAATTTCAGTAGATGCCCCCAGAAAGATAAAAACGAATTCTGGAATTTTGTCTCCCTGTCTAACATCTTTTTAATAAATTTAAATATTTAAATTGTTATCAACTGGTTGAAAGTGTGCTTTTTAAAACTGAAGAGCAACTAAGCAGATACCTGGAGTGCCACCCAGGTACGTGGTCACCGTCCCTTTCATTGCCTTGTCTAAGATGGCAAGTTGTGTTGAAAGGTCTTCAGAGTAGATGATATTTCCTTTAAATGGAGTCCATAGCTCCAGACGGTCTCTGTTGACTCTGAATTCCAGATGCGAGTGTTGACTGGAACACAGATTTATGGCCTCTATCCGGGATATCACCGTATTTTCAACAGATACCAGAACATCCTGAGAACACAGCAAACATGCAGTATTAACAAGCACGAACAGTAATGCCACTTATAAGCGACCTTTACATTTGTGAATTCAGAAACTGATTTACGATGAGAAAAAAGATGTATCATAGAGTACCCACGTTCAAATGAAAAATTATTATCATCATTATTTTAAACTATACATTTGTTTTACAAACTCTAGGCTTAGCTAATGTGTAAATGTATACTGGCTTCTGAAAATTCAATGAACTATCAGAGTTTTTTTACCTACAATGGGACTCCAAAATACTGTGTAGTCAGAAAAGTCATGACACATTTTTGCATACAAAAATATAGCAAAAATACATCATGACTTTTCCGACAGCCCAATAGTATCTTAAGCCATATCTTTCTGTTTAGAAGGCTTCCTGACTTTAACACTTACTAACAAGAAGTTGAATCACTCTGTTGTAAAAAAGACTGAGACAATCTAAAGAGTTTTCATAAGCATATGACAACAACCCTGAACGGTTTGTTTGTGCCATACCAGCATCCTACGGACTTGGGGCACAGGACGTGAAGTGGTCTGAGAAAGAAAAAGCAGGGGTCACCAGCAGTAAATTCGAGAGTATTTGCCAAAGGATTCTCAAAAAATTTCATGTTGCTGAACTTTGCAAGCCATTGGTAAATCTAATTTACTCAGCTTGTCAAAACTGATCAATGCTTATTGTAGCTTATACGTTTCAGAGGAAATGTGAAAAATAAAGAAAAAATTAAAATCCAAACTAGAGAGACAGCTGTTGTGATGCTTACCAGTGGTACATGGATAATCTGAAATGGTTACTTAGAAATCCAAGATACCTATGTTAAGGGAGCATCTATAATTCACAAAATACAGGTTATTTCAGGAAATCTATATTGTGTTATACGTGTCTATATCCTAAACTCATTTTTAAAAAATGCTAAGTTGAGAAATGCTTCAAGATGAACAATGGTATGTGAATAATATTACGTAATGTTGTGCATATCTCTTGAGAAGGAAATTTGATATGCAACAGAAGTGCCATGGAGACAAACACAGAAAAGACAAAATAAATACCACAGACAAGGCGTGCACTGACCTCCTTTACTTCGTGAATACAGTGTTGGAGGTAGGAATTCCATTTTGTTTAAAAACAAAACAAAACAAACAAAGCAAACAAAAAGCCGAACTTCAAAAGTAGTAAACTCTTGGGACTAGCAGGTGGCATGATGTTTAAGGTGTCGGACACTCCCATATGGCTGACCATGGTTCGAGTCCCATGGCTTGCTTTCTCACTTTCTCTCTCTCTGTCTCTCTCTGGTCAAATTAAAATAAATGAATGAATAAATAAAATGAAATAAATCTTTTTTTAAAAAGTAGTAAACTCTTTGTAGATAAAATTTAAACTTGGCAGGGCATTTTTTTTAGTTATTTGTGGTTACACCAATAACTCTCCCCAAATCACCCTTTAAACTGCAAAGAACACCTATTTTTGGGGGGGGGGGTTACTATAGGGCACATGCGCTCACCAGACAGAGAGACAGAAAGTGAAAAATCACCCCCCATGCCACAATCCTTTTCCTCCATTCTCCTCTCAGGATGTTGGGCATGCATGCACATTCACCCCGTGTGAATTTAAACCACCAGTTCCAGGACTCAAACTGCAGTCGACTACATGGGAGTCCAATGACATAGTCATTATGCCATCTGCTGGTCGCAAGAAAACCTCGTTTTCTTTTTTTTTTTTCAGAGGTTTTTGCTATAGGGCACGTGCGCTCACCAGAGAGAGAGAGACAGAGAGATAGAAAGCGAAATCACCCCCCAGGGAGGATGGCCACACCGCAATCCCTTCTCTTCCATTCTCCTCTCGGGATCTTGGGCACGCATGCACACACGCCTGGCGTGAGTTTAAGCAACCGGGTCCGGGACACAAACCATGGTCAACTACATGGGAGTCCAACAACATAGCCATTACGCTAACTGCTGGTCCCAGGATGTATATATTCTCACTATGCCCACACATGGACTATTTTACCTACGTACTAACTCTGATCTTCACTCTCAGAACCTGCTTAAATTAATGTGTTTCTCCAAATATCAGATTTATAGTTTAGTTTCTCATTCAAAAATATCATACTTTAATTCTTTTGATATTTTTCTAATCAGTTATTTAATGTCTACCTTTGCCACTAAATGATAAGAGTCTTAGCAGCAGGGACTGTATTTCTTTTATTTATTATCGTGTCCCTAGAACCTGCGACATGGGATCTCAGTAAACATTGGGTAAATGATGGATGAAATAAACAACAGATGAATAAATATTGACTAATAGTTAGATGAACTGAAGAACAAATACTGGACTTATGATACTATTGTGAGGATAAAAGAAAATATATCCTTTCTGATGAGGACAAATGCAGCAAAATGTGGTCAGTTTCACTTCACCATTAAAACAAACAGACAGACAAAAACATACTAAGAAAATTTCAGTAGATGCCCCCAGAAAGATAAAAACGAATTCTGGAATTTTGTCTCCCTGTCTAACATCTTTTTAATAAATTTAAATATTTAAATTGTTATCAACTGGTTGAAAGTGTGCTTTTTAAAACTGAAGAGCAACTAAGCAGATACCTGGAGTGCCACCCAGGTACGTGGTCACCGTCCCTTTCATTGCCTTGTCTAAGATGGCAAGTTGTGTTGAAAGGTCTTCAGAGTAGATGATATTTCCTTTAAATGGAGTCCATAGCTCCAGACGGTCTCTGTTGACTCTGAATTCCAGATGCGAGTGTTGACTGGAACACAGATTTATGGCCTCTATCCGGGATATCACCGTATTTTCAACAGATACCAGAACATCCTGAGAACACAGCAAACATGCAGTATTAACAAGCACGAACAGTAATGCCACTTATAAGCGACCTTTACATTTGTGAATTCAGAAACTGATTTACGATGAGAAAAAAGATGTATCATAGAGTACCCACGTTCAAATGAAAAATTATTATCATCATTATTTTAAACTATACATTTGTTTTACAAACTCTAGGCTTAGCTAATGTGTAAATGTATACTGGCTTCTGAAAATTCAATGAACTATCAGAGTTTTTTTACCTACAATGGGACTCCAAAATACTGTGTAGTCAGAAAAGTCATGACACATTTTTGCATACAAAAATATAGCAAAAATACATCATGACTTTTCCGACAGCCCAATAGTATCTTAAGCCATATCTTTCTGTTTAGAAGGCTTCCTGACTTTAACACTTACTAACAAGAAGTTGAATCACTCTGTTGTAAAAAAGACTGAGACAATCTAAAGAGTTTTCATAAGCATATGACAACAACCCTGAACGGTTTGTTTGTGCCATACCAGCATCCTACGGACTTGGGGCACAGGACGTGAAGTGGTCTGAGAAAGAAAAAGCAGGGGTCACCAGCAGTAAATTCGAGAGTATTTGCCAAAGGATTCTCAAAAAATTTCATGTTGCTGAACTTTGCAAGCCATTGGTAAATCTAATTTACTCAGCTTGTCAAAACTGATCAATGCTTATTGTAGCTTATACGTTTCAGAGGAAATGTGAAAAATAAAGAAAAAATTAAAATCCAAACTAGAGAGACAGCTGTTGTGATGCTTACCAGTGGTACATGGATAATCTGAAATGGTTACTTAGAAATCCAAGATACCTATGTTAAGGGAGCATCTATAATTCACAAAATACAGGTTATTTCAGGAAATCTATATTGTGTTATACGTGTCTATATCCTAAACTCATTTTTAAAAAATGCTAAGTTGAGAAATGCTTCAAGATGAACAATGGTATGTGAATAATATTACGTAATGTTGTGCATATCTCTTGAGAAGGAAATTTGATATGCAACAGAAGTGCCATGGAGACAAACACAGAAAAGACAAAATAAATACCACAGACAAGGCGTGCACTGACCTCCTTTACTTCGTGAATACAGTGTTGGAGGTAGGAATTCCATTTTGTTTAAAAACAAAACAAAACAAACAAAGCAAACAAAAAGCCGAACTTCAAAAGTAGTAAACTCTTGGGACTAGCAGGTGGCATGATGTTTAAGGTGTCGGACACTCCCATATGGCTGACCATGGTTCGAGTCCCATGGCTTGCTTTCTCACTTTCTCTCTCTCTGTCTCTCTCTGGTCAAATTAAAATAAATGAATGAATAAATAAAATGAAATAAATCTTTTTTTAAAAAGTAGTAAACTCTTTGTAGATAAAATTTAAACTTGGCAGGGCATTTTTTTTAGTTATTTGTGGTTACACCAATAACTCTCCCCAAATCACCCTTTAAACTGCAAAGAACACCTATTTTTGGGGGGGGGGGTTACTATAGGGCACATGCGCTCACCAGACAGAGAGACAGAAAGTGAAAAATCCCCCCCCATGCCACAATCCTTTTCCTCCATTCTCCTCTCAGGATGTTGGGCATGCATGCACATTCACCCCGTGTGAATTTAAACCACCAGTTCCAGGACTCAAACTGCAGTCGACTACATGGGAGTCCAATGACATAGTCATTATGCCATCTGCTGGTAGCAAGAAAACCTCGTTTTTGGGGGGGATGGGATGGGAGAGGGAGAGGTTTTTGCTATAGGGCACATGCGCTCGCCAAACAGAGGCAGAGAGATAGAAAGTGAGAAATTGATCCCCAAAGGGGATGGCCACGTTGCAATCCCTTCTCCTCCATTCTCCTCTTGGGATCTTGGGCACGCACGCACACACGGCCGGCGTGAGTTTAAGCCACCGAGTCCGGGACTCAAACCACAGTCAACTACATGGGAGTACAGCGACATAGCCATTACGCTAACTGCTGGTCCCAAGAATACCTCTTTTTGAACTACGATAGGTTATTAGTCAATATGTTTCAGAGTTCCTGTGAGCATCCAAGCCAAGCTTTGCATAACAAGCTTCTTGCTGTGACTTGTTGAATTCCAGTGTGGATGACACATGGACAGAACTATCCGCCTCTACAGAAGTCTGAATACTACAGATTTTCTGATAACTCTCATGTTGTCTTTATCTAAGACTTTTTCCTATCCTTTCTCCTAATTTCAAACAGGTGCTGCCACTAAGAAGCCAAGTGGACCAGTGTTTGTGTTCTTTCTTCTCCCCTAATTTACTCATGTGCGAAAAGATTAGCAATGTGAGAAAGAACAAAACATAATTAAGCAACGAATATCTGAGAGATTATAATCTCACCTGTTATTACAGACTACTTCCCAGAATCCTCAAGGATTCTGAATAAGGGTGGATCTCTCTGTACTCTGTGATGGATCCAAGCAGCCCGTATGTGCACCTGCCCAATCTGAGCTATTAATGCAACAGGTTTTTCAATACTCCCCCTTTGCTTCTTAGCTCATACCTTGGAAATGAACCAGCAAAAAGTATGGATGGCTTTTTATCTTAACAAGGTGCTGGAGAATGTGCCAAACATTTTACCTAAATGATGTCATTTCATCTTCAAAATAGCCCTTTCAGGTAAACACTGCTAAACACATTTTTTTTTTTTTTTTTTTGGAGAGGTTTTCGCTATAGGGCGTGTGTGCTCGCCAGACAGGCAGAGAGACCGAAAGCAAGAAATCACCCCCCGGGGGGATGGCCACACCGCAATCCCTTCTCCTCCATTCTCCTCTCAGGATCCTGGGCACACACACACACACACGCCCTGCCTGAGTTTTAAGTCACCGGGTCCAGGACGCGAACCGCGGTCGACTACGTGGGAGTCCAGCGACATAGCCATTACGCTAACTGCTGGTCCCTGCTAAACACATTTTTAAAATGAAAAAATAAATAAACCAACAAAAGCAATGCCTCTACAGGTTTAGAGTGAAGTTACCTGAAGTTTCTCAGAGGTGGAATCCACCAAGGACAAGGCAAAGGGCACGGTATTGCCAGAAACCAGAGCAAGCATAACACCGGTGCCCGCAGACGGGCGAATATGCAAGGTCAGGTTTACTTGCCAACCCTCCTCATTGGTTTTGTTATCTGTTTATAACAAAGAAACAGAAGCAGAATTAATGTACTCCTGAAGTACACCAGAAGGAATTATCATGGTCTAATAAATATTTAAAGCAATCTTTGTATAATACTAAAGATTCTAGCTTCCTTTCTAAATAATGTATAAACCTAAACAAAACAAACTTTTTCTTTTTTTATTCTGCAGAAAAGAAACACACAAATGAAGCCTCATCCTTCCATTCTTCCTAGATGAGAATTCTAAAGTGTGATGTTAAGGATTAGTACGAATTCTCCCTGTTATCTTGTTAATAGCTCTTCCTTCTCCTGTACATACTCGCCGGTGCTCCACTATCAGAATAGTCATACTTTACCTTACTTTTTGAGAGGTTTTTGCTATAGGGCACATGTGCTCGTCAGAAAGACAGAGAGAGACAGAGAGATAGAAAGCGAGAAATCACCCCCCCAGGGGAGATGGCCACACCACAATCCCTTCTCCTCCATTCTCCTCTTGGGATCTTGGGCACACACACACACACATGCTGGCGTGAGTTTAAGCCACTGGGTCCAGGACTCGAACCACAGTCAACTACATGGGAGTTCAGTGACATAGCCATTACGCTAACTGCTAGTCCCCAGAATAGTCATATTTTAAAGTAGAAGGAAGTTGGACAAACTTATCACAGTCTTTGGGAGAGAACATTCAGTGTAAGATGCCATTACCACCCTCTAACTCCTTCCCTGGAGCTGTGGAGGAGTAAACATGATATACATCCCTAGGGAGAATCTGACAGTAGAAAAGTACTCTGAAGGCAACAGTTAACTTTAAGTTAGAATGGTTACTTTTGTTCTGTGGTCCTCTTGTCATAATACTGAATATTCTTTCCCTTTGTTACTAGGTTAATCCATCTACTCCCCTAGAGTACACGCTCTAGGAGGTGCAAATCTCTATCAGCACTTTGTTTTCCACAGCAATCACTAATAAATGTTTGTTAAATTAATGGTTCCAAAGTAGTGGGAATCCTAAAAATATTAGCTCACGGTCTGAATTAAGTCTTCTTCATTTATTATGTACTGAAGCCAAGTACTACTTGGAGCCTTTGAAAAGGTGAATGTGAATGGAGAAAAAAATATTTTTTTCTTTGACAAGATGTTCTTCCCTTTAGCCACATGTAACATTATTACAGTTTTCATCCTAACATCCTAATCCGATCATTCTCACCCAAAAGAAAATAGGTATAATAGTTTGAAATAAGTAAGTTTAATACAAGATATTGCACTTGTACCAATATAAACACACAAATAGATAGAAGTTAAACGTAATGTTAAATATTAAGTATAAAGAAGGTTGCTTTTAAGTTATCCATGAGATAGCTAATTACTTATGAAAATAATTTTTTAGATACAATATAAGTGTTATTTTTATTTCCTTTCTAGATATGTTTTTTCTTTTCAACAAATCATTGTGGGCTTAATTTTTTTCTATAATCAATTATCACCCCCATTTAAAACATGCTTTTAAAAATCCTTTACATGCAGACGAATAGAATTGAAATTAAAGGCACTGTACTAATTTATGTTAGGATCACAAAGATAACTCTTATAAGATGGCAGTTAAAGTGCTGGACTTCCACATGTCTTACACGGTTTGAGTCCCAGACCTGGTGGCTTGACAATCATGTCAGATGCATGCGTGTGTGTGTGTGTGTGTGTGTGTGTGTGTGTGTGCGTGCATGTGTGTGCCTAAAATCCCGAGACAAGAGGAGAATGGAGAAGGGATTGTGGCATGACTATCTCCTTGGAGGTGATCTATCACTTTCCTTATATCTCTGTGTCTCTTGGACAAGCACGTGTGCCTTATGGCAAAAAACTAAAAAGAAAAAAAAAATAAAACCTTCCATAAAACTATAGTGAATTTCTTTTTAGGCTACAAATCAAAACATTTAAAATACAGTTTTTTAGGGTCAGCAATTATGTCACTGTACTCCTACAAGGCTGACCATGGTTTGAGTCTCAGAAATGGTGGCTTGAAATTCACACCAGGTGCGTGTGCGTGCCATGCCCAAGATCCCGGGAGGAGAATGGAGAAGAGATTGCGGCATGGTCATCCCCCCAGGGAGTGATTGCTTACTCTCCCTCTCATTGTCTCTATCTCTGTCATGCTCTCTCTCTCCGGTGAGCACATGTGCCCTAAGGCACAAACCTCCAAAAATAAATAGATAGATAGCTAAAATAAAATACAGATTTTTTAAAAGCAAATACATTAGCACTAACTTAGTTTATAATGCAGAATGTTAGTAGTTCAAATAATAAATTCCTAAAAACACTATGACCCCAATAAAATAATTAAAATGTATGACTAGCTAGTAAATACAGGGGAAGATATCTAACATCAGAGAAACTATAAAAATCTTTATGACCATTAAATTAAATATTTAAACTATCAGAAAATAAATCCTAAGCATAAACTTCCTCATTCTGTTGGTAGAAGTATTAACTGATAAAAGATCTTTGAAAGAGAATACAATGGAACCTCAAATTATTAAGTAATTATATAGCTTTCAATGGAATTTAACTCTAAGACACTCTCTTTCACAATCAGCCATGTAAGTGTGGCAGCAGAATGTATTAATATGTTCAAGAATGTGCACAGAAGTGTGATTTGTAAAGGTAAAGATGTGAGCTTAGTCTGGCAAGACTTCCTCCTCAATTTAGGCTATACAAAACTGGAAATGGCACTTTGCCCACCCTTACAACAACAAAAGGCAGATTATCTGCACAATCACAGCTTTTCTTAAACTAGCAGAGAGCTAAGGTTACAGAGCAACCAACTACCCAGAAACCTAAAGAAACGCAGGGTCTTCTAGGAAAGAAGTGTAAGAACACTTTCTTAGAAAGAGTTCACAGCAGTTGCCAAACAATTTGCTAAGAATAATTCAGGTAAAGCTTTTTTTTTTTTTTAAGAGAGATTTTTACTATAGGGTGTATATACTCGCTGGAGAGACAGAGAGAGAGAAAAAAGGCAAGAAATCACCTCCCAGAGGAGATGGCCATGCTGCAATCCCTTCTCCTCCATTCTCCTTCTTTAAAAAAAAATATTTATTTAATTCTATTTATTTATTCATTTATTTTCATTTGACCAAAGAGAGACAGAGAGAGAGAAAGAGTGAGAAAGCAAGCTGCCAGGTCCAGGACTTGAACCATTGTCAGCCATGTGGGAGTGTCCAGCACCTTAACCACCACGCCACCTGCTGGTCCCACCTCCATTCTCCTTTTGGGATCTTTGGCATACATACACACATGCCTGGCATGAGTTTTAGGTCACTGAGTCTGGGATTCAAACTGTGGTCGACTACGTGGGAGTCCAGCAACATAATCATTATGCCATTGTACTGATCCCTAGGTGAGGCTTTTTAGCAAATTCTTAAAGTCCACCTGGGGGCTTGTGTGAGTTTATAGAAGCTCTAAGAATTGTAGACGTAAGGAAAATTTATACCCATTTACTGCTTCTTCTCCATGGATCTTACTGGGTGCTCCAGAGAAATACTAGGAGCTGGAAAGGGAACCAGAGAACCCCTCCTAGGGGCAGCAGAGCCTTCTCCGTCTCCATATGCAACAAAGGCCCTAATGCATTTGGGGAAAGGGCATCAAACCTTGTTGTCCTAAAGACATGTAGGAAGACTCATTGCACCTACAGATCAGGGGGAAAAAAACAGGGAAGACACAAACAAGAGCTATCTACCATGCAGGGGAAGCAGGAGAACATACTGAGCCCACTGGACAAGTCCACTACGGTGCGTGATGGGGAGGAGGAGCAATGTCAATCGTTAGTGGGAAAAATGAGAGAAGTGAGAAATCACTTACTATAATCTATGTTAAATTGAGCAACTCCAGAGCCGGGGTAGTAGGAGCCCTTCTCCACAGTGACCAGGCAATGTTTATTTTGTTTCTCTTGAATAATTTCCTTTACTCCTGAAGCTCCTTGATTCATCAAATTCCATCCTCGTATACATCCATCTAGACGAGGGTTAATCTAACAGATTAAAATACAAATCAAGGAATGCATTTTAAAGTCAAGTCAGATAAGTGGCTTAATTAACTATAAATAAAATTTTTCAGTTAAAAGGTAAAAACAAACAAAAAAACCTTTTTTTTTTTTTTGATATTCTTAAGTACTTTAAATGTTTTGAATTTTTTTGGAGAGGTTTTTACTATAGGGCGCGTACGCTCTCCAGAAAGACAGAGAGAGACAGAAAGCGAGAAGTCATCCCCCAGGGGGTATGGCCACACCGCAACCCCTCTCCCCGTCTCCTCCATTCTCCTCTCAGGATCTTGGGCACAAATGCACATGCACTCAGCGTGAGTTTAAGCCACCAGGTCCGGGTCTCAAACCGCACCTGGTGGCTCTCAAAGTCGACTACATGGGAGTCCAGCGACATAGCCATTACACCAGTTGCTGGTCCCTAAATGTTTTGAATTTTAACCAGGCCTAGTGGAACACTTGTGGTCCCAGCAAATTGGGAGTCTGCGGCAGGAGAATGTGACATAGCAAGACCCTCTCTTGGGTGTGGGGGGGTAAAAATTTAAATGTTACCTATTTTTTTCCTTTTCAAGGTGTCCTTCAGATGGACAGTTACTAAGAGTGAATTTTTGCCCCACCTGCCCTTTCCAATATCTAGCAGTAATTTTTCTTCTCTGAAGTTGTCCAAATGCTTCTAGCTGTGGCCTTGGGCTCTAAGCTGCTTTCTATTATTTAGTTTGCTATTTGTTTCATTAGAGCATTTACAACACAGGTCCATGGTGCTAATCAGATTCTATGCCTTTTCAGGAACAAAGCCATTTGTATTTTTTAGCCTCCACCAGTACATCCACCCAGAATCAAGACAACTAGTAGCCATTTCATAAATGGCTGGTTCTTTGTTTATCATTTATTTTACTTTTAAATTGTCTTGATCTAGTCATTTCAAAGACTAGATATATTCACCCTGACATTAGTCAACTAACTCAGGTTTAATATCACATCGTAGAAATCTCCTACAAGGTAAAGTAACTAGGAATTACCAACAGTGAGATAGGAATAAAATAATAAGTATAGAAGTTAAGTCAGCAGTGAATCTAGTAGGCACATGATCTCAAATGAAATTTTTAGAACTCTTAGAAAGGTGAATAGTCTTCCTCATGAACCTATTCCACAGTTATCAGACAAATATCATATTCAGAAAATCATTTATCTAATTGTAATTTAGGCTACAGTTATACCCTCAGTAAAAACTTTTCTATATGTAAGAAGTATCCCTGTATATGCTGTCCTTAACTTCTCAGATGTGAGTCCCAAAACAGACTTCAGAGGGACCGGCAGTTAGTGTAATGGCTATGTCACTGGACTCCCACGTAGTCGACCGCAGTTCACGTCCTGGACCCGGTGGCTTAAAACTTGTGCCAGGCGCATGTGCGTGCGTGCCCAAAATCCTTAGAGGAGAATGGAGGAGAAAGGATTGCGGCGTGGCCATCCCCCCTAGTGGGTGATTTCTCGCTTTCTCTCTGTCTCTGTCTGGCAAGTGCACATGCCCTATAGCAAAAAAAAAAAAAAAAAAAAACAGACTTCAAAAAGTCCTTTGACTGACTGCTACAAAATAGTGCAATTTTTTTGAATGAACATAACCATGTATATGTTTAATAGCAAAGTATGGACTGCTGTGATGTTAACACTAAATTAACACTAGAGAATTTATAAAATCTAAAATCACAAAAACTCTACATTCATTTTCTTGCTTCCTTTATATAATTTCAGTGGTAACTACTGTTATTTCATGTTCAATTCAAGTTCTCACACTTGGTATATTTAACAAAATAACTTCCATTGGCTCTCAGAAAACTACATCTTTTAGTATTATAGACAAAAATAATTCATCTATGATGAATGATATAAGCTATAAGCTTGGATCATTACCGGTCTAATAAATGCACTTTCCATTTTCCGAGGAAATCCTGCAAAGTATACTTTGGTTTCCAGAAATCCATTTGTAGGCTTAAAAAGGCTTCCACGTTTATTTATATTCATCACAGCTTCTTTAGCTATTTTAACACTAACACTGTTTTCTAATTCTTCCACAGACACCTGCAGTTAAAAAGATACAAATTATCAAACAACCAAGCATTGCTGCATGTCATTTGAAACACTGAATCAAAATCCTGCTATTATTTCAATAAGCAATTCTCCAAAATAGTCATTTAATGTCATTATTAATTTTTTCAACTCATTTGGAATAATAAATTATGATAAATATGATAAAAATTTGTTTTAAAGTGACATACTTGATCAGAAATTAAATGCACAGCATACTTTAAAGTTTAAAAAAATAGTATTCAGCCAAGTTTACACATTCAATCATAACAAAAGTCTTTCATTTCCAGTGTGTGATAAAATTAATCCAAACTGTGCCACTCTTTCTTAGGAAAATTTTAATTGTTCTTACATTGCAATTGTCTGACAGTACACATACAAATCGATAATGTAAATAAGTTCTTAATATAAACTCAGAGAAATCAGTAAGTCCAGTATTCTTCTCATGACACACAATTTTTTTAGTAGTTCAAAAGAGGTTGAGGTTGTGTCAATGAAAGTAACGAAACGTATCACAGAAGGTTTATTCACAGCAGAATTATGAGCGACCATGTCTCATGAACAAAATCTTTGGTAACCCTGAGAAAAGTGTTCTGGGAGGCGTAGACGCAGCAGCTCTTTCACTTTGTTCTGAAAGCAGTAAACAGGAGCAAAGTGTAAATCACACATGGAGTTTTCGTATTAGCCTGGCCCAAGAGGTCAGAACATCTAGAAGTAGGGGTCTACAGGCTTTAGATGGGCTTAGAAATTATTTTAGCTATTAGTTAACGCATAAGCCTATCTCAAAAACTCTAACATAAATAAAAGAAAATGAAATAAAAATGTAAATTTAAAAAATTATAATATATAGTATTTGTACCTGTAATGATTAAATCAGGGATTAGCATATCCGTCATTTCAACCATTTATCATCACTCGTGTTGGGAACTTAGCCTACAAGACCTGGCTGGCTCATTTCTTTTACTTTTTATTCCTTCTCATTTTCTTTTACCGTATCCTCTCCTTATTCTCAACCTCTAGTAAAAAATCCCAGGGCTCAGACCCCAAACCTTTAGTTTCTTACCATGGAAGTATTCTAAATGAGACTCTGTGGGCCACCTCTAGGGCGTTTGGAAAATCTGGGGTTGGGCAGCACTTTCACAATGAATAGGAGCCATGCGGGATGGGAAAGTGCTACGCACTGCAATCGGCGGGATAGCCATGCACAGTAAGCAATAAGATATCCGATATCTTGCAAACCTTCCAAACATCCCTGCATAACTATTAGATATTCATGTAAGGAATACTCAAGCTTATAATTACCTGAGTGTGTCCGTTTCTGTGTACCACAAATTTTTTGTTGCGCCATTTTAGCACTGATTAACATTTTAAACAATGCAGTACTTTATAAACCAAGTACGAATTTATGTTTGTTTTGTTTAGCTCTTTACCAAGATTCATATCATTTTGGAAAAGCAGCACTGCTCAGGAGCAAAGAAAATCTCTTGCTACAGCACCTCAAATTCAAACTTAAGATTTTTTTTTTTAGAGAGATTTTTTCCTATAGGGCTCAGGCATTTGCAAGAGACACAGAGAAAGAGACAGAGACAGAGAGAGAGAGAGGCACCCCCCCACTCCCCAGGGGGATGGCTATAGTGCAATCCCTTCTCCTCCATCCTCCTCTCAGGACTTTGGATATACACACACACATGCCCAGTGTCCAGGTCTCAAACTGCCATCTGCCATGTGGGTGTCCAGCACCTTATCCACTATGCCACCGGCTGGCCCCAGGAATTTTCTAAGACAAGCTGTTTAGGGCTGATATACAGGGAGTATGATATCAGAAAGGAAAACCAAGAGCCTCTACCAATCTGTACCGGTTGAAGCCAGAAGAAACCAAATGAGGACAGACCTTCACTGAACTCAGATGAACTTCTCACGAAAATACTAAAATCTCTCTCATTTTTTTAAACATGTTTTTTGAGAGTTTTTTTCACTAAAGGGTGCGTGCGCTCACCAGACAGACAGAGAGAGACAGAGAGACAGAAAGCGAGAAATCACACCCCAGGGCGGATGGCCATGCCGCAACCCCTTCTCCTCTATTCTCCTCTCGGGATCTTGGGCACACACGCACATGCACCTGGCATGAGGTTTAAGCCACCAGGGACGTGAACCGCGGTCGACTATGTGGGAGTCCAGCGACATAGCCATTACGCTAACTGCTGGTTCCCAACATCTATTTTATAAGGGCTTCCTGAGGTTACAGGTGCCTGGCATGGGTTATAAGCTGCCGAGTCCGGGACTTGAACTGACGTCAGCCATGTGGGAGTCCAGCGACATAAACATTACTCCCTCTGCTGGGCCAAGTAATTGATTTTTCCATTCCCTAAGTATCTTATTCCCTGCATTTACCTCTATGTTCATGTTGTAGTGGAAGACCCTGGTAAAAATCAAATGTCTGCATGGGTCCATCTATAATCTTTTTCACTTGCTTTCTTATTGAAAGCAACCAAGAATTTTTAAAACTGCAGAAAAGCAAGGTTTCTAAATGTAAACACTTTCTCTGTTTACCAATCCTTAGCCAGCTCTGTTCTGGTACACTGGTGGGTTGGCCAACATATGGTTTGGGTCATTCTGTCCTTTGTAGATGAAGATGCTCTGTAGGTCATGCCTTTAAAGACTACACTTTTTGACCACTGTAAAGAAGTGGTTATTGCGTAAGACCTTAGAACCTTGTTGCTAGCGCCTCATATGATGGTGTCTTTTTGCTTAGGAGTGCAGGACTCAGCCTGTTCCCTAGAGGCCCTGATTGCCTTAGGATTCAATTCCTAGCTTGCAAAAAGTAATTTGTATTCAAAAGAAATTAAAATAGCAAATTCAAATATAAAAACAAACAAACAAACAAAAAAAAAAAAAACTAAAATCTCTGCCACAGGAGGAGGTCTGGCTCCATGAGATGGACAGAGAAGCACGACCAATTGCTGCACCTGTGTCTATAAGAGCCTACCTTTATCTGGATCCCAACTTTGTCCACCTTTCCCAGATAAGATCCTTAGCATCCCATGCCTCAGTGAGACATCCTTTGGGAGCAGTTCCTTGTGTCCTCCTACCTGCTGGCTTATAATAAAGTTTCCTTTGTTCAAATGGACTTGGTGTAGGCCATCAGTCCAACTCATGCCAGGTCGGTGGACCCACTTTTCAGTCACCTACAGCACTTCAAAAACACTCTAAAAGATGAGTAAACGTAGAAATGAAATAATTTTGTAATGACCGTACATGTCTTCTCAACAGACCTCTCATGAGCTCCTGTAGGTATAGCTGACTCTTTAGACTCTTTTCTAAGGTAAAGCTGAGCTTTCTCAGTCCTCCTCTGTGAGCACAGCAATGACTACTACAGAACAGAGGCCTCCTCGCTGCCAACCAGTGGGAATCCTTTCTTCAGGAAAAGTCCCATTGTAATTATTGTAATTCAGTTGATTTAAGTGCTACTCCCCATTATTAAAATAAAAGCTATTTTTTTGAGAGATTTTTGCTATAGGGCGCGTGCGCTCGCCAGACAGAGAGAGAGAGACATAGAGACAGAAAGCGAGAAATCACCCCCCAGGGGGGATGGTCATGCCGCAATCCCTTCTCCTCCATTCTCCTCTCGGGGTCTTGGGCACACATGCACGCACACGCACCCGGCGTGAGTTTTAAGCCACCGGGTCCCGGACGCGAACCACGGTCGACTACGTGGGAGTCCAGTGACATAGCCATTACACTGGTTCCCAAAATAAAAGCTATTTTTAGAATTACATAAAAATGTTACTTTCTAAGCATTCTGGTTGGTACCTCCTTATATATACTGTTTGTACAAAACTGATTGCTTATATACATGCTTACACTTAAAATTGAGTTAACTTTTTGATATTTTTCACTGTATTTCTCTTTTAAAAATATTGGTAGCAACTGAGGGTCATTTTTCTTTCCTTTTTTTTTTTTTTTAAGAGGTTTTTGCTATAGGGCGCATGCGCTTGCCAAACAAACAGAGACAGAGAGACAGAAAGTGAGAAATCATCCCCCAGGGGGGTATGGCCACGCCGCAATCCCTTCTCCTCCATTCTCCTCTCGGGATCTTGGGCACGTATGCACACGCGCCCAGCGTGAGTTTTAAGCCACCAGGTCTGGGACGTGAACCGCGGTCAATTACATGGGAATCCAGCAACATAGCCATTATGCTAACTGCTGGTCTCAGGGTCGTTTTTCTTGATCAGCAGTGTTTTGGCAATAAACTACTATGCTTGCTAATAATCCCTGACCTATAGGGGAGACACTCCATTGTTTTTTGTTTGTCTGTTTTGTTTTACGTTCAATCACTATATATCATTACAGCATGCAAAATGGATTTTCCAAGCATGAATACACTGTGTATTAGTCCAGACAAAGATGTTACCACACCAATTATTATCAACAGATCATTTTCCTTTTTTGTGTCCCTTCAATATTTTGATTCTTTCCTTTTCCCCTTGATTCCCTCTCTTTTACTCTATCATCCCATTGTTCATCCGATGACAACCACTAGAAAAGGTAAAAAGTTAAGACAGAATAGTTCAAACAAGTGAAAACAACTTTAGTTATGGGAAACCCTAAATATAAAGTGAGGATATTCTTTCTCAGGCTACTTACAGGACTTACAGTGCATCGAATACACTCCATACAACACTAGATAAATCCAAACCCATTTCTCTTGGTACTGCTATAAAAATAAATCATCATTTTATAAAAACTGCATTAATGTGGGACAGTTTTTATGAAATCTTCAAAACATACCATATTCCATAAGCCATTATTAATAATCTTGCCTCCACTTGTGATTTTGGTTGTATACTCATTCTTAAACTGAATCTCAATCCTTCCCTCACGAAGTGCAATCAGGAACCAATCCGAGTGATCGAGAGACTCTGCATACAGGATCACGCCTTCTGAATCGTAGGTCCGGAAGTCAAACTCAGCTGAAAATCTAAACAGCAGACAAGGAAAGGCCCTCAATAGTGAGAAACAGGGAAGACTTAAAGTATTATTCTTATTTCTTTTTCTGGCAAACAGCAATATGTTGGAAAGGCAATGTTCGTTTCATTCTCTGGAATTGTTTACAAAATTACTGCACTGTCTAACAGAGAAAGGCAGAATCTGACTAAATGTGGATTATCCCTGGCTCCAGGTGCATTTAAACTCCAGTTATTGTATTTTCTTACTTATTCTTGTACTCTTTTCCCAGTGAAAAAGATATGTTGGTAAGTTTTCATCTTTTCGGGGGGCATATATTTTGAAAGCATCCTTCAAATGTGGAATCATTCCCATTTATAAATATTAGGCATACTGTATCTCTCCTGGAGCATTTTCTACACCATATAATCTGACATTAAGATGTGCTTTTGGTCTGCAATCATAACTAATTAGTAAAAGATGTTACCACTTCATGATTTGGTTTATCCATCAAGAGGCATATTTTCCCCTGGTTTACATGTGTCAGAAAGGACTCTCTCACAGAGTTCTGGATGATTGCAAACATAATTAAGTCCTCATGGATGCTAAGGAAGATAAAGTTAAAAACTTTCAAATGTATCTCAAACACTCTTCAAAAAATCTAATTGTATAACTCATTGCAGGAGAATAAGGAAGAAAAGCTTGAGAGATATAATGTATCCATGTATCTAAATTCTGGTCATGCCAATTGGGACTAAGACTCTCAACTAATAGGTAACTAGAAGTCTATATAACTGTATACAACTCTGGACCTGTATGTAACCTCCAGAGGAGGGAAATTCTAGGTATGCTGGATTTAACATAACAAGTGCTGAGTCAGAACACTTTAATGAGAATCAGCATTAAGTTTTGCAAGGACCGACTAATTAAAATGTTTGAAAAAAAGATGAATGGGAAAAGAAAAAAAATAGTTTTATAACTATTAGTCACTTAAAGGTAATTTAAGAAGTCAGAATTTCATATAATTGTTAAAAAAAAAATCTCACTTTCATCTCAACGTTTAGTAGTAACAGAAACACTATTTGAAATGGGGTACAGATCTCTCTCAAATGGAATAAAGGAAAGTCAACAAAATAAACTCTTTTATATTTAGAATTTTAAGAAAATACTCCAGTATGGTGAAAAGTTTGTTGGATAGATGATAATATAGTAGGCATGTAATGAGCTCAGATTATATAAAAAGGAACCATTTTACTTGCAATAAAGATTTCCATCTTCCTTCATATTTATCTGAGCATTTCATTAATGTGAAACATGCATTATCTTGCCAAAACTCAAGTCTGTGTGGGAACCAGCAGTTGGCGTAGTGGCTATGCCACTGGACTCCCACGTAGTCGACCGTGGTTCGCGTCCTGGACCCGGTGGCTTAAAACTCACGCCGGGTGCGTGTGCGTGCATGCCCAAGATCCCAAGAGGAGAATGGAGGAGAAGGGATTGCAGCATGACCATCCCCCCTGGGGGGTGATTTCTCACTTTCTGTCTCTATGTCTCTCTCTGTCTGTCTGGCGAGCACATGCGCCCTATAGTGAAAACCTC